AGTATTTCCCTGCTGTCGATAACGTCTCCGAAAGGGTGATATTGTGTTTCGATAAACATTAAAATGTCTGGCAACTTCGTTTTGCGCCATTAATGTTTGTAGCATACCCACGTAGACGTTTATTTCCAACACACCGTGGCGTTGCGTAAACGTTATTTATGGATAAACGAAAGGTTTTTTTTGTGAGTCCCTGATAGCTAAACAATCGATGTCTGCTGTTCACATTATAACACGAGTATGAGTATCATGCTCCCATCAAATACGCACACACCCAAATTGAAAAACATGCACGTACAAAAGGTCTCATGAATATGCATTGAAAGGGGGCGGTGGGGTAGCCTAGTGGTTAAAGCGTTAGTATGTCATGGAACTTAAATCCTTGACGAATGAATTGACGTTCATATGAACGTGAGAACTATATAAAAAAAGCCTGCTACAAAACCTACATTGTTGCAAGGTATTAGTTATTGTATTAAAGAAATGCTCGTAGTTATAAATAAAATAAATATCTAGTTTTGCAGTTATAGCTGTAAATAAAATCGATCGCGCCACAAACAAAAGTATATAAAAGTGTAACATGATGAATCTTTACGTAAATTCAATGTCATAACACAATATTAATGTAAATGTTGGACGTAGATATGAAGACAAAGAATCTAAAATGAGTATCTGTAAAAACTGCCAAGGATGAAATTGAGGATGAAATTCACGTTTTATTAGAAACAGATAAGTATCATCACCTTAGTAATTCTGAAGTTTAACGAGAATCTGATGTTAATGATCAGTCTAAAAAATATCCAACACCTCTGATATTATACGTTCTCTAGCCACATTGATGAAACATATATTCTCTGCCAGATAGTTTTGTATATCATATATGCTGAGTCAAATTGAAAACTTCAATTTTTTAAAAGTAATCCCATATATGATATACAACGGACAAATGTATCAGAAAAGTTAATTTTTAATCATTAATGTCCAAAGAAGGATTTTAATTAACGGTGGTAACCATAATTTGTTCCAAGCACCTACGGTATTCGGTAATAACATCAACAGTTTAAATCATAAGTCCCAAGCATAGGAATCTGATGGCACACAAGTTCAGTAGCGTGTATGGCCACCATGTGCGTTGACAACTGCCACACAACGCCTCCGCATGGACCTTGTGATGCTTGTGAACACATGATTGGGAAGACGACGCCATTGTTGCTGCAAAATGGTGCCAAGATCTTGCAAATTCTGAGGTTGGTTCTGGAGAGTGCGCAGACTTCTGCCAAGAGCATCCAAGACGTGTTCGATGGGATTGAGGTCGGGAGACCTTGACGGCCAGTCCATGACGTTGACTCCCGCATTCTGAAGGAAATGCCTTATCAAAAATGCTGATTGGGGTGTGGCATTGTCGTGTTGGAAGATCAAACCGGGTCAATGTGCTGCCATAAAAGGCAGAAGTTCTGGTGCCAGTACCTGGTCGCGGTAAGCAGCAGCGTTGAGGTTGCCACGGATGACAAGAAGCCTGGAACGTGCATTGGCACAAAAAGCACCCCACACCATGACACTTTCGCCTCGAAATCTGTCAACTTCCTGTACACGACACTTGGCGTAACGTTCATGACGGCGCCTCCACACCCTCGCCCTACAATCAACAAATCGAAGATTAAATCGGGATTCATGACTGAAGACGACTTGATTATAATTCCTCTGAGTCCATCGTAAGTGTCGCTGTGCCCACAATTGATGTTGACGTCTGTGTAATTGAGTCAGAATCGGCCCGCAGTATGGCCGTCGTGCTTGAAGGTCTACCCGTAAACAGTTCATTTCTGGTTGATGTAGCCGTCAAAAATCGGTTACGGATGTGACGTAAGACAATCTGACGATCCTCTGCATGTGACGTCACACGTGGTCGACCTGGCCGAGGGCGATCGGCGGTGGTACCCGTTTGCTGTAGACGCGTCTGTAAATCATAAACAGTCCGTCGACTACAACCCGTCGTCCTTGCGACTTCAGCTACGGACGTTCCCGTCTGCAACATGCCGATGACACGTTCACGTTGCACATTTGAAAGGCGTGGCATGACAAATGGCCGTAAAAACTTTTGTTTTCTTGTGTTTTTTGTTGTTGTTAATAACTGCTAACAACTATGGCTGAAAACACGTGCGGTATTATGGCCACGTGACCAGTTGCACGTGAAAAAACACTTTTGGCACTATAGTGCTGTGCACATGATTTTGATCGATTCACCTGCACAAAAGCGGGTGTTATCTGAAGACAATACGTGGCCATTACTGTTTAAATACACAATAAGGGCCCACAATGATAACTGGTCAAAATGTCAAAATTTTAGGATCGTGAAGTTTTTAATTTGGTTCAGTATATATCACGTGATTAAACAAACGAAACTGAAATGTTAACTGTATAATGGGCCATGTGGTCATAAATACCGAATAAATTGTCCGATGTCTGATGACTCGAGTAAGATCTTCAGCAACCCATGCTTGCCGTAAAAAGCGACTCTGCTTGTCGTAAAAGGCGACTAACGGGATCGGATGGTCAGGCTTGCTGACTTGGTTGATGCATGTCATCGATCCCAATTGCGTGGATCGATGTTCAGATGTCAATCACTGGATTGTCTGGTCCAGACTCGATTATTTACAGACCGCCGTCATACAGCTGGAATATTGCCGTGTGCGGCGTTAAACAACAAACAAACAAACAAACAAAGTATGCTAAGAGTAATCGTACTTGTTTAAAGTCAACATAGAATCTTTCGAGAGCATTCCTCACCACTCGCAACCTTGCGTAACTAACATCATGGCTCTCGTCACCCTCTCGATGGCCGCATGAGTCGAAACGGCGCCGATCATAATGAGCCGCAGGTCACTTTGGTCAATATTATCCCAAATATTTAAATCAGTTAGCGGACAATATGGGTTTGTTATATTTTTGGGGGAAAATGTAAGTTGTCAGTTCCAAAACCATAAGGTATACGAAAAAATTAAGTGTGTTGCTAAAATTGTGGTTTACGTGATAGGTAATAGGTTCAAATGTACACGTGTGTTTGTTTACATTCAGGAAACACCTTACTCGGCTGAGACAAGGAGATAAACTCTTCTTGCCTTTTCAAAATTAGATACGTGGACGAAACAAGTTCAACGATTAGACACCAGGGTCAAAGTGATCGAACCTGTATAAAGCTTGGCCAATATTCAAAGAACTTAAGCACCTAACATGTTTTAACAACATTGTTTTGAGGGGGCACGGGTGGCCCAGTCGTCTAAGGCGCCGCGATTCGCTGTGCAGAGTTACGTCCCTTGGATACCCAAGAAACCTATGATTGTGGGTTCGAATCCCGGTTCGCCCTGATTATGTTTCTAGGTTTGCCAGCACCATACCAGTGCTCGTGGGTTTCACCGAAGTGGTAACGTCTTCATCACTTTGGGCTTTCCTCCAACATTAAGCTGACACGCCGTGATATAACTGGAATACTGTGAAAAGCGGCGTTAAACCCAACTCACTCACTCATTCACTCACTCACTCACACTCACATTGTTTTGATAACCGAAGTGTTCCTCGTTCCTTGCCCAGGTGCAGGGGCGGTCGGGTAGCCTAGTGGTTAAAGCGTTCGCCCGTCACGCCGAAGACCCGGGTTCGATTCCCGACATGAGTACAATTGGAAGGCCAGGGGCCACACGCAGCAGGGGGTCCCCGGCAGACATCCATATATGAATATGTTGGGTTACACAGTAAATGTTCCTGTGTTCGGACATTGGTACCTTGTTCGTTTGACCAAAGTGCTCTGGGCTGCTGTATACCTCGTATGTAAGCTTTACCATTTCAACCATAGGCGTTTGAGGTGAGGTGAAATGGGGTTTAACTTCGCCGTCAAGATTATTGCACTTATATAGCATGCACGAATTTGCAGTCTGATTGTCCCAGAATGGCATGAAGTGGTCAGCTCGGGGACACACCAAAAAGCTACAATCCCTGGTTCGAATCCCGGTTCGCATTGATTATGTTCCTAAATTTGTCACCACACTCTGAGACCTGCATCACTTCGGGCTTTGCTCCCATATTAAGCTAACACGCCGGATATGGCTGGATTAGTGTAAACGCGGCGTTAAACCCAACTCACTCACTCCAGTTCAGATAAGGGTTGCACCCGTGAAGATCCGGTTATAAAATAGGTCTTCAGCAACCAATGCTTGTCAGGGCGAGTACATGTATGCTTGTCGTACGAGGCGACTAACGGGATCGGGTGGTGCGCTGATGTCAGTCACTGGATTGAATGGTCGGGACTGGATTATTTACAGGCCGCCGTCATATAGCTGGCATATTGCTGAGTGTGGCGTTAAAAACAAACAAACAATCTTACGGGCCGTCGTCACACAAATCGAATATTGCGTGCGCGTGCGCGTAAAAAGCAGACAAAACATCGCACTCTCACTGTCATTCTTGACCCTGTTGTGTGCAGCGTAGTCATTCGTGACCAACTCGTGTTATTCCGGGACAAGCCGAATAGCGACTCGTGGCCATTTTTGTGACCGGGTTCCGTCTTAGCGCAAACGGGCATGCCCATAACAATTGTCAACTCGTTGCGTAATGGTTCACATATATTTCCCCACATATTATATATAACTCAGATGCAATGTAAAGCACATCGGGACATGTGGAAATATACAGTATGATTGAACACATTTAACTCTGTCTTGGGTATATTTTTAGATGCAAGACATATGTAAAATCAAATATTATTTCTGAGGGATTCTTTGACGAAGAACTTGAAATCATACGCACATTCTGATTTGTTTGTTGTATTTTCGCACATAACATTCATCGATAGGGGTACGAGTCTTCTTGCAGGTTACGGAAAGGGGCGAGTGGTGACGAATGCAGCGTTGTGTCACATTCACAAGAGTAACGAGGGTTGTGAACAGATTGCCCTGGGCGTGTCGCCAAAACGCAACCCGGCGTTGCTGCACGTGTTTCACGCTTACGTGCCGCATATAAATGAAGGCTGACTGATAATACTGAACGTTCCGAGCACTAACCATCGTGGTGAGAGCATTACCGTGAGTACTTCAATCAGTTCAATGGCCAGGAGTTGTTTCCACCCCAAATTTCGATGACGTGATCATGTCAGTATTACTAAAATTCCTATGTTAAAACACAATTTACCGCTAAATCATCATGTGTTTCAGGACAAAATGGCGATTGCGTTCCCCATATTGGTGATTTTCTGCATGGCGGTATGTAATTTCTTTAAAAGCTCGTTTCCAACGCGTATTTGGTAGACGGACTGGGAACCCATGACGGCATATGACTTTACTGTCTAAAACTGTTCCCTTAATTTCCATCAGTATGTATTGCACCACGCTCAATGGCAGTCTGACGGTGACACTTCGCCAATGCTGTTCTATTGTCAGTTGTATTGACGTCAAGACCCGTGAAGATTCCGGGGTAGAATTGGTCTTCAGCAACCCATGCTTGCCGTAAAAGGCGACTATCGGGATCGGGTGGTCAGGCTCGCTGACTTGGTTGAAGCATGTCATCGATCCCAATTGCGTGGATCGATGCTCATGATGCCAATCACTGTATTGTCTGGTCAGATTCGATTATTATACAGACCGCCGTCATATAGTTGGAATATTGCTGAGTGCGGCGTTTAACAACAAACCATGTATTGACGTCAAGAATATCGGTAAAATTCAGACATGGGAGACCCGTGAAGATCCGGGTACAGTACAGGTCTTCAGCCCATGCTTGTTAAAAGATGCGAATGACGGTCTGGTAATCGGCACGCTGACTTGGTTGGTGCATGAACATTGGCAGAATAATAGTTATTCAGTTATAGAATTCGTGTTGGAATGTCAAATGTCTCCCTTGTCATCGCTGCACGTGAGATGTGTTCCTCGGGCTTGAACGTGCACTTCGTTCTGTAGTTTCTCGGGTTATGAAATGCATACTCCGTGGCAAGCATACCCTTCATATACGTATATATATATATATATATATATATATATATATATATATATATATATATATAAACTGAAATTAATATACCAATCCACACAACTGGAATATGATTACATGCATCAACCAAGTCGGCGAGCCTGACCACCCGATCGCCTTAGTCGCCTCTTACGACAAGCATAGTCGCCTTTTAAAGCAAGCGTGGGTTGCTGAAGACCTATTCTACCCGGATCTTAACGGGCCCCACGTTGATTTACTTATGAACAAACGCAACCCTTATTAAGAAAACGTTGCGACGAAATTGAAAATGAAGGGCAAATGGTCCCCCCCCCCCCCCCCCCCAAATCAATGCCAAGAGGTAGCAAACTACGCCTACATGTCTTTTACGTCGCCATGTTGCTGTTTCAGGCTAGCAGCGTCAGGTCGGCGATACCTCCCGGCTACATATTGGATAGTAAGTATGACTTGTTTTTATATTGAACTAAGTTGAGTATCGATAATACCCATGTACTTGGAAGCAATCCAAAACTTGTCACTAACCCATGTGTCTAATTGTTTAACGCCGCACTTGGCAATATTCCACCTATGACGGCGGTCTGTAAACATTCTAATCGGTACCCGACAATCCTGTGACATGAACATCTATCTACGCCATCGGGATACGATGACGTGCATCAACCAAGTCGGCGAGCCTGACCACCTTATCCCGTTAGTCGCCATTTACAGCAAGCATGGGTTGCTGAAGATCTCTTCCAACCCGGATATTCACGGGTAGCGATTACTAATTAATCGTGATTGCCCATGTTGCAATGACTCGTTTTCACTCGTCTTGCAAATTGCGTTTTAAATGAGAATCGACACGTCTATTGCTGAGTGCGGCATTAACTGTTCACCTAATGGTAGTCGGCTCTATAATTTCAGTTATGAATTATGCCATAAACATGTATTTTCAGTTACCCCCGAATGCGGGCCTGACGGAATTGCCGATGGAGTGGTGAAACTCATGACTGACTTCAGCGCTGAGGCGAAGGCCTTCTGTGCAGGAGGAACCTCGGTCAAGCTCACGTCCAAAGATGGCGTCAATTACGCCGTGCCCGTGTCGTACCCAGGAAAGGGCGGCGGGAAGTCGGTTTGTAAATACAAAGTAAGTCAACTGTTTTTCCTTTCGCTTTGGAACCCCTTCTACCATTAAAAACAATTGAAAAGGAGCATGGAACGCAATGGTTTTAGTATTCATATTAGTGTTTTGATCTCATTAAAATGAAATCTTAGTTCTCGCCACCGCTAAAGATCTGAAGACATCCCATTACGGGTCACGTCGGACCGACCTTGCGCGAACTTTCACCGACCAATGGAATGACTGAGAAGGCAGCTTTCTTCAGGCTTTACGGCACTAATTTCAAATTGGCGACTACGCTTCGAAACATTGACAATTTCTCCAAATTTGAAACAGTACAAAAGAACATTTTGGAATGACTAATAGTCTAGATTGTATGGATTCAGTCGTTAAACCTGTAACTATCGTTCGGAATACCCCGTATTAAAGTGTTCGAGGTTGCATGATTAGAAATAGCTTTCTGGCTATCACTTTCATGATCTGGTAAGCGACGCCCTGAATGGTTGGATGAAAGGTCGTTCTGACATGACCCCCTAATGGGATGTCTTCAGATCTTTGTTTAGCGGTAGTGAACTAAGGTATTTTAATGATCTTGGTTTTGATCCTATGTAGCGAAAAAAATGTTTCACTCGTGCAGTGTGAATGTAATGGGCGCAAGTGGACTTCAAAATGTTAGAACGTATACCTGAGGCAAAAGTACTTGGGTCTGATCTTGAAAAAATGTGGATTTTTTAGCTTAGCATGTAACACGTTATTGAGCTTTGTAAATATTTGACGTGTTTGTAGATACCGCGTTCCTCCACACAGCGGCTGTGTAGTGGTGGTGACGCGTCATTAATTGCAATGCATAGTTTCAAATCTGTTGGTTAATTTAACGGAAACTCTGTAAAGCGAGTAATGGAAGAATGACTGGTCTCCGAGTTGGGTATCGTGTTAAACTGTGGCATCAAGCCACCCCACGCGTCACTGAAGCCAGTTTCATCTCGCATCACCTGAAAATACTACTTTTTCATGTAGTTACTATTGCCTTGAGTTTGACATTGTAATAAACTGCTTGTTGAGACATTTTTTCCGTCATCAGAAAAAGCGAGATTCCCTGGTATACACGGTTCTGATCATTGTGGCCTTCGGCGAGCCAGGCAGTCGTCTCCACCAGTCGGACGAGGAATACACCATCACGTGCACCTTCCAGCCCAAGGGAAAGAAAGACAGCGGTCCTCTGAAGATCGTTCCCGGGTTTGTATTAAGTTTGTACTTACCCTGTGGGTATGCCGGAAGTATAAGGTAAACGGGAACAGAAAACATGTGTAAAGTACCATTATATTAAGTTCTAAGATCAAATGTATTTGACACTCGTGCAATGTTTCTTACGCTCTAACATCACTATTTAATATAAACATCGATAGATGTCTAATTTGGGGGCACGGGTGGCCCAGTCGTCTAAGGCGCCGCGATTCGCTGTGCAGAGTTGCGTCCCTTGGGCACGCCAGAAACCTATGATTGTGGGTTCGAATCCCGGTTCGCCCCGATTGTTTCTAGATTTGGGTTTCACCGAAGTGGTAAACGTCTAAGACCTGCATCACTTCGGGCTTTCCTCCCACATTAAGCTAATACGCCGTGATAATAACTGGAAAACTGTTAAAAGCGGCGTTAAACCAAACTCGCTCACTCGCATGTCTAATTTCATGATGGCAGTTGCGCATTAACACAAACGGCGGCCATGGTTGTCGCCATCCGGTTTACTGCTCGTGACCTCAATACAGTAGACAACATCTGGATTATTAATGCTATGATTCAAACTAGACAAATGAAACATTTATGAAAAAACCGCGAAGTTTCGACGCAGACGTGGGTGAATTCGCATTAAGCACGAGAAACTTGTCGGTGACTCCATGTTTAGGGGGAGTGAAATTAGTCCGCCATAATCTGACCTCGGGTATAACGATGAAGTAGCTAATCTAGGATCTGGAGTCCGATGTCGTATGTTTTTTTAATACCAGAAATCTCGAAGGGTTTCTCACCAACGTGTGTAAGAAATCGCGTCGCAAGAGAAACTTGAAGTTTTGTTTTCTGACTTTGAAGGATTTATGAAATGAACTTTATCTTTTAGTGTAAGCGCTCCAAAGGTGATCGAAGGCAACAAGGCTCCGGTCAGCGTGTCCGTTGTCAAGGTGTACTTGGCGGACGTCAAGGGCACGCCACTCACCGGCAACATACCGACAGGGAAGAGCGTCAGACTCATGGCCAAAACAACCAGTAAGTACTCCCTGTTGAGGACCGGTTGGTTTTGAGTTAGAATAGGTTCCAAGAAGCCTCTATGCTGGGTCCGGCACGGGTGGGCAGCCGACCAAGGCGCGTGCCATTCGCCGTGCGGAGTTGCGTTCCTTTGGAATGGCAGAATCTTCTGATTGTAGGGTCGAATCTGTTAGACCCTATCATGTCTAGCTTTGTCGGTACCATACCCGTGCTCGTTGGTTTTAAGTCTTAAACGTATGAGACCTGCATTACATCGGGCTTTCCTCCCACATTAAGATGGTAAATATTGATATACCTGCAATAGTGTACAAAGCGGAGTTAAAACCCAACTCGCACACTGTAATTAACTCAATGGATATGATTATCAGACTAGGTAAATTGTTAATTACCTTACCTTTACCCCACGGCGTGTATCTCTGCTCATGTCTAGTATCTTTGGCAAGACTCGATAATTTACAGACCGCCGTCATTCAGATGGACTATTGACTGGGCGTTAAACAGGAAATAGGGCAGTTAGCCTACGACCACATATCAACTGATCTCGATTGCTTCTAGCATATCAGTATGTCATTGGAATAGTGTTTGCATGTCAAGTTATAATCAATCCTACATTACCAGGCGAGGTAACATTGTGTGCTTCATTACAGCACCTAAGGACCTCGGCATCCAGGTGGAGTCGTGTGACGCAATGGACTCCAAAGGGAACAGATACTCGCTGTTAAGAGCAGGGTATGCACCCACTTTGGCTTGTGAAAGGAACAAGTGGGATAATAGCCCGAATGGGACTGGCTTACTAGAAAGTCATCTCTAAGCATGAATAGTTTCACAACAGTATACATGGTCAAATGGTTGACGGTTCTCATTTCTTACACGAACGAGTTCAACTTCTGAAATGACCATACAAAGGTCATGATATGAATCTGATCCTTAACTACCTTGCAGTATAGCAAAACGTTAACCTAAATCAGACTTTGCGATAGTCCATAACACGCAATTGTTGACATGCACCAAGTCTACAAAGAACCTAGTTCTCATTTCCCAGCAACACGACCCGTGAAGATTCCGGGGTAGAATAGTTCTTCAACCCATGCTAGTCGTAAAAGGCGACTAACGGGATCGGGTGGTCAGGCTCGCTGACTTTGTTGAAGCATGTCGTCGATCCCAATTGCGTGGATCGATGCTCATGCTATTAATCACTGGATTGTCTGGTCCAGATTCGCTTGTTTACAGACCGCCGTCATATAGCTGGAATATTGCTGAATGCGGCGTTAAACAACCAACCCCTGACAGAACACTAGTCATGTCTCTTCATAAATTTCAGTTGCGGCGACGGTATGATAATCGATAAGAATGCGGGCTTTGTTACTCGCGACAAGAGCTCCTCCAGCCCGTTCTTCAAGGTGTTCACTGTCAATGGCGACTGGACGCTCCGGTTCGAATGCAACTTCACAATATGTGCTATAAAATGCAATGGCGTAAGTATCATTTTGCTTATATAATGAAGATATTGCATTGGCCAAGAGATCCATGTAACACGTCTGTTCAGTAAGACGAGGTAACTGTCCGACATCTAAGTTTAAACTCGGTGAATGGTGCTGATGCCCTTGGCATCCGAAGTCGCTGTTCTTCCAGAGATAAGTTGGTTCAGATTATGACGCTACATGACGGGACACGCGATATCCCACACCCGTGCATACCCATTCGTGAATAACTCGGGTTATTCCGGGACAAGACGAATAGCTACTCGTGCCCCTCCCGTGGCCATTTTTGAGACTGGTTTCCGGCAAAGCGCAAGAGGCATAGCTAAAAGAATTGTCAACTCGTTGCATAATGATTCGGGCATATTTCCTCCTTACATAAGTAGGCCATATGCTATTTTAAAACATCAGGACTATACAGTATGACTTAGACATTTAACTGTCTTGGGTATATTTTTTTAAGATACAAGACATGTATAAAATCAAAACTTATTTCTGAGGGATTCTTTGTCAGTACTTGAAGTTCTACGCATTCTGATTGGTTTGTCGTATTTTCGCACATACAATTTATCGATAGGGGCGAGTCTTGTTACATGTTACGGAAAGGGGCGAGTGGGTTCACCCCACGATATATAGGGGTTGTGGAGTAGCCTAGTGGTTTAAGCGTTGGCTCGTTACTCGGAAACCCGGGTTCGATTCTCCACATGGTGCAATGTGCGAAGGCCCATTTCATGTGCTTGTTCAATTAGCTCATGCATTATCTTTGCTGTAATACAGCTGTGACAAATGGCTGAGATGTAAATGTTCTACAGCATCGCCCATTTTAAAAACGGATATAAAAGGATTTCCTCAACTCGCAATCTTTCATACACATACAATGCTTTCAGCCCTCTTGTTCATCACAAAAAACCGCACGAAGACGTCGAGAACCAGGGCTAGGTAAGCACAATCCGTTTCGCATGATATGACGAAAATATTGCATAATTAATGTCTTGTCTCCCGGCAAAAAATAACGTTAATTCAAACCTTGGATACCTGGCTTACTGAACATTGCCATGTATTTGCATCCTTCCGCAAGTGTGGCAACCAGACCTTTTCTTTTTAAGTAACTCCCTTGCCCACGGGACCAGGGTTAGATTCCCGACATGGTTACAAATGTCTGAAGCCCATTTCTAGTCCCCCCGCCGTGATATTGCTGGAATATTGCTAAATGCGGCGTAAAGCGATACTCGCTCCCTTGCCTTAAACATATTTGTTTAACATAACTGTCTTGTGTGAAGGTTCTTGCATCCAGTTGGCTGTGGCTTCACGAAGTCTTGGAACAAGTTCCAGATAACTTGTTTTCGCCACTAGTAAAAACTCCCGTGTATTCACACTTGGTATTTAATTTACTCTAATGAAGTTTAAGAACACCCCCCATTGTTTCAAATCACTCTAGTGCATCTGTCTTGGCACCAATAACATCAAAGAATCGGGTGCTCAACTTATGAGTAGTCTTGAAACACGTGTGCCCCACAAATAGTCTTGTCATTTGAAATGTGTTTTTGACGGTGATTTCAGGCCATAAGTTAAGATTTAATTGGTCAACTGTAACATAGCATAAATGCTGATGCAAAACGTTCATGCTTATTTTTCGACCTCGGATTTACATCTCTAATTGCGCTACCCGTGAAGATACGGGTTGCAATTGGTCTTGACGGGTTACCATGCTCGTCGCAAGAGAACGGAATCAAGTGGTCAGGCTCCACTTGTTGATGCACGTCATCGTATCCCATTGCGTAGATCGATGCTCGTATCAATCGCTGGTCCAGACTTAATTATTTACAGCCCGCCGTCATATAGCTAGAATATTTCCCAGTGCGGCTTTGAACAAATAATACTTGCGTATCAAGTGGGACTTGTTTCCTGTTTTTCAGTTGGGCGACTACAGTCCTACCTGTGGGGATGGAAGACCAATGCTTTCTCGGAACCCTACTCCTTGACGGACAACGGGTATGCTGTCGCGCGCACGGTCAACGTGGGCTCCTCTCGGTTGGCACGGGACGTACTCAACCCGTAAAAAGTTGAGGAAAATGTAATAAGGTGGTTGGATGTCAATAAACGTTATAAAACAACAACAACCGTTTTGCGTTCATATGAAGTTCATGGTATGCTTTACTTTACGAGCACTGCACTCTCGTAGGCAGGTGACTATGCTTGTCGTAAGAGGCGACTAACGGGATCGGGTGGTCAGGCTCGCGGACTTGGTTCATGCATGTAATCATATCAGTTGCGTGGATCGATGCGCATGGTGTCAATCACTGGATGGTCTGGTCCAGACTTAATTAACAGACCGACGTCATTTACACTCTTCAAAAACACAAGTAGAATGTAGACTATACAAAAAATCCGGCATCTAAATTAGATATGATTTTGGAAAATGTTGTTGGTTTGATATTCGACAAACGGTGCGTCAAAACGCAGTCATTGTCGATTTGCAATGTCTTAAACGGCAATATTTTTTTTAATTTGAAGTTTACACAATATACGGCTTTTCCATTGGACGAGGGGTCGGTCATATGAACCGCGAAATCGACGTTCATAAGTGTATGAACGACACAATTTGACGTTCATACGTGTTTCACGAGACCGTGTTCTTGAAATGACGTAATATAAACACTGACGGACTACTTCCACATTCCACAAAACCCTGGGATTTCCCTAACACGAAAACATGCATAAGTGTTCTGATCATTTAGAACCTTTATTCTTGGTCTCAGCGTTTCAGTATACATTCAGAAATGTCAAAGCGTGACTGCATGATTGTTCACGAATATCCTCGCTACGGCCTATCCTAATGAACAAACGAAGAAATGCTCATCTAAACTATCGACTCGATCCGTGTCTTCGGCTGACCGTCTCCAGCAATCTATGAATTTACCTTAGTGTCTGTTTGACGCATCTTTATTCACCTTTCAATGATCGGCCAGTTGATCAATGATTAACACATGTAACCGCCACAGGTTCATTAACAACTTCGGAAATCTCTCCCTTCACGTTTATCGTGTCGGCCATTTTGACGTCTTGTACTTGATGTAAATTTATTACGACGCGCTGTCATTGTGACTTACTGAGGAAGTTCTTTACAGAACTTTCTCATCTAATGAGGATATGATTTGAACACATGTGCTGCGTAAGAGGTTTGTGAAGAGCAAGTTGTGCATCCATACGCTCATGTCGCGTCTCTCGACGCTCATACAGTTTGCCCCTCACTCTATGAAGGTTCATACTCCAATGAACTCACACAAAGTGGACGTCAATTCTTAATTATAACTGTTATGAACTGATGTATTCATTTCCATACATGTCAATATCAAGGCAGATGTACCGATGACGGCCCCAGGGCATATCGATACATACATTAGAGTTGGGTTTGGCCCCCTCTTTGAACAGTATTCCAGGGACTTCACGGCCTGTCGGCTTAATGTTGGAGGAAAGCCCGAAGTGATACAGGTATTGGACGTTCACTACTTTGATGCACTGGAATGGTGCTAGCCATAGAACACAATTGACCCGTGAAGTGCTGGGGTAGAACAGGTCCTCAGCAACAAATGCTTGCCGTAAAAGGCGTCTATGCTTGTAAGAGGCGACTAACGGAATCGAGTGGTCAGGCTGGCTGGCTTGGTTGAACCAGGATTCGAACCCACGATCATAGGTTTCTGGCGTGCCCCAAGGACACAACTTTGCTCAGTGAACTGCGGCGCCCTAAACGACTGGGCCACCGGTACCCCGCTAGATACAAAGACAGATGGAAGGACAGACAGACAGATAACTTACCTCAGGAGCTTTTTTGGAATCTCTTTATTTAAAGATGTATCAACTTTGTGAGGCCCCAAGAGTTTCTGAATCACTTCCAAAGAAATTAGCATTGAATAGATCACTCTTACTTAAATAAAAATAGGATATGCTTCTTAAAAGAAAAATCATCTTCAACAATTTTCATCTTATCTTCAAATGTTTCGTTCACAATGACAAATCTCCAGCACTCTCAACCAGATTTACCTCCAATACTTTTGACCGACCAGTGTGAAGCCCATTTCTGGTGTCCCCCGCCGTGATATTGCTGAAATATTGCTAAAAGCGGCGTAAAACCATACTCACTCACTCACTTTGACCGACCATGTTGTGTTTGCGCGCTCTGTTCCTATCTTTTCCATGTTTGAAGAACCAACCTCCAATAGTCTACCCCGCACTTTACGGCGACTTTATTTTAAGTTGGATATTATTCTCAAAGTCACGATTAGTTTTGCACGTGCGGCTCGTCCTCGGGCTAGCGGCTTCGGACAAACCCCACGTGCAAAAGTAATCGTGCCGTTTCATACTATATCCTGCACGTACATGTGAAGATCCGGGGTAGAATAGGTCTTCAGCAACCCATGCTTGCCGTAAAAAGCGACTCTGCTTGTCGTAAGAGGCGACTCAAGGGATCGGGTGGTCGGGCTCGCTGACTTGGTTGATGCATGTCATTGATCCCAATTGCGTGGATCGATGTTTACGATGTCAATTACTGGATTGTTTGGTCCAGACTCGATTATTTACAGAACGCCGTCATATAGCTTGAAAATTGCTGAGTGCGGCGTTAAACAAAAATACAAAGACTACGCCCAGGTCCCTCTGGGACTTCTTTTTGGTAAATCTTTAGAAATGGCAGTTTAACTCCAGACAATCTTGAAGACGTCAAAGTTCATAGAATTACTTCCAAGTGTATTCTATTCGTTAAAATACATTGTGATGGCGTCACCCGTTATTTCGGTGGGGACATTTCTTCTTTTTCAATACGTGTCGTGTTTTAACTGTTCCAATATTTGACAACCCTTTTCAATTGTTCTGCCTGATCGTATGTTATGACTCGTTACTCGCGACTATCTTGAACTTACTCAAAATTACATGCAGACATTTCCGAAGAGACAACTAGAATTTCGATCTTTATCCAAGTATCGAAATATATACACAAAGAAAAACGTAAAGCACACCCTAATATATTTAATGATTGTTTGGTACCAATATTTGTTTGTTTGTTTGTTTGTTTTGGGGTTTTTTTTCTTCATTTTTTTAAAACTTTATTTCTGTTGCATTTTTACACATGGGCTATACAATGTAATACATAGGCAGTAAACAAAAGTTGAGAACAGAATTATTGTGTGGGAAACAAAAGATGACAAGATGACCAAAATTTGTAGAATTTATCGATACTATTACTTATGAGAGCTGTGTATTTTGTAAGCATGCAATATTTGTAAATCTCTTTTTTAAGAAACTGGAAGTTCGGTACCTTTTTTGAATCTCTATATTTAAAAAATACGAATTTGCAAAGTAAGATAATAACATTTATAGGATCGTTGTGTCGCTGATCAGATCCAAGCAGAATGTTTTTTCTTGTTAATGTGAGTTTAACTTGAATCTCATCTGATAGCCACTCTTCCAGTTTTTGCCATATGGGTTTCACCAATATTTGTTGCAGTCATGAAAAATTTAATTACGGGAAGAGTTATGTTTTCTCGGGATGATGTAATCAGTCATGCGTGACGAAAGCTCACGTGCCATGCATGGTCTGCCCGTGCAGCATGCTACCCTCGAGTATCTCTAAAAGCAGTATATCCAAACGTTAAAATTGCTTTCTTAAGCTCGGTTTTAAACTTTTTTTCCATGACTTTTGTGACCATGGCACGAAGGCGATTATCAAATGCCACAAAATGGAAAATAATCGGCATGCATAACGCAGGAATGTCTTGTATTGCTATTGGTCGGAATTCGGGGTATCATTACACTTTCGTAAGCCGTTAAGTCGAGAAACATGCTCAGACCGGTGATGTACAGGACCGTCCCAGATCCGGAAAACCTGTGACGACACATCGCGAAGACAGGGAACTTCTTTGTCTTATACGCCGAGAACCCTTTTTAACAAGTACTCGCCTGAAAAAGCCGTGATTGCCCAATCGTCGTTTCAGCACCAGAACCGTCAGGAACCAGCTGAAAGCAGCAGGAATGAGGGCTAGACGAGTCACAAAGCGTCCCGTGTTGAGAGATCACCACAAAGCTGCTCGTTTAGCATGGTGTATTGAGCGACAGAACTGGAATCTGAGAACTTGGAGACGGATCTTTTGGTCAGACGAAAGTCGCTTTCTGCTCCACGTCACAGATGGAAGAACGAGAGATTGGAGGCACGGTAACACGGCCTATACCCCCAGGAACATTAAACCGACTGTTGCATACGGCATGGGCTCGTTAATGGTTTGGGGGTTTATCTCTCATGATTGCAGGTTGGATTTGGTCACCACAAGGGGCAACTTAACAGGGTATCAGTACATCCGGGACGTTTTGAGGTCCAGTCGTCGTTCCTCATTTTGACAACCACCCTCTTGCTACTCGACCTCAGTACATGGATGACAATGCCATGCCTCATCGTTTGCATGCAGTCGTGGATTACATGAGGGCCAATGCAATAACGACTCTAACGATTTGAACCCCCTTGAACATGTTTGGGATACTCTGGGGCGGCGCATACAAGCACGAGATCCTTCTGTACAAGATTTACGCCAATTGGAAGCAGCATTGCATCAGGGGTGGTTGTTGTTGACCCATCAACAGATCCAACGTCTGACTGGAGGCATGAGACGTAGGGTGGAATGCGTTATCCGGGCACGTTGGCTACTGATCTGTTTCACGTGTCATGTCAAGTAGAGACTTTAAGGAACATTTTCACAAAAAACATCAAACTCGTTTACTTAATCCTGCAGCTCCATACTTTTTTGAGGTATTGTCTGAGGTAAAAAAAAAGAGTACCTGTGTTACCATGATGTTTTTGTCAGTAAATTTCAATCACAACTCACCAATATCTTCTTTATTTGTTGTCAAATGTTTGTTCTATCCGATAACATTGGTATCGCTCAGCTCCTGTGGTCAGTCATCCCATACCATGAATTTTGCCATTTGTCATGGTTTAGAAATAGGGGTGTGCTTAACTTTTTTCTTTGTGTTTAGAATGCGTGGTGCATTTCGTTTAAACACGCCTCAAAAATATCGAGAGGCGCCTGGATAAGTCCACCCTGCAGTCGGATCAAATATAATCTTGC